TGCCTGAGTGGTGATGGCACAATCGTCAACATAGATGAAACTCTCTGTCTCTTCTGGCAGTGGGTGGTCATTTGTGTAGATGTTAAACATTGAAGATGCAACCTGGTTTCCCCTGTAATAGGCAGTAAGAGCACCTAAAGCTTCAGAGAACTTCATTTCAAAGCTCCTTGCTTGAGTGGTGATGGCACGATCGTCAGCATAGATGAAACTCTCTGTCCCTTCTGGCAGTGGCTGGTCATTTGTGTAGATGTTAAGCATTGATGGCGCAACCTGGTTTCCCCTGTAATAGAAAGTAAGAGCACCTAAAGCTTCAGAGAACTTCATTTCAAAGCTCCTTGCTTGAGTGGTGATGGCACGATCGTCAGCATAGATGAAACTCTCTGTCCCTTCTGGCAGTGGCTGGTCATTTGTGTAGATGTTAAGCATTGATGGCGCAACCTGGTTTCCCCTGTAATAGAAAGTAAGAGCACCTAAAGCTTCAGAGAACTTCATTTCAAAGCTCCTTGCTTGAGTGGTGATGGCACGATCGTCAGCATAGATGAAACTCTCTGTCTCTTCTGACAATGGCTGGTCATTTGTGTAGATGTTAAACCTTGATGGTGCAACCTGCTTTCCCCTGTAATAAAAAGTAAGAGCACCTAAACCTCAGAGAGCTTCTGTTCAACCATTTCAGAGCTCCCAGCTTGAGCGGTGATGGCATGATCGTTAGCATAGATGAAACTCTCTGTCCCTTCTGGCAGTGGCTGAAGAGTGGCTGGTGATTTGTGTAGATGTTGAACATGGATGGAGCAAGCACGCTCCCCTGAGGCAGGCCGTTCTTCTGTTTCCACCATCTGCTTCTCTGGCCCTGGAACTCAACAAAAAAGCTCCTGTTTCGTAGCAGATTTCCTATGAGGTGGTTGTCCTGACAGGTCTATGAAGACAGCTCCTGTAATCTTCTGCCTTTCAAAACCATCTTCTATGTGTTGAGTCAAGTTCAACACTTGTGATGTGCAAGTGGAGTGATTATCTCACTCCAGAAGCGACTTGCAGCACACAACCCAAAAAATTGAAACTCTGCGATCGACGAAAACGTCTAACCTGGAGGAACCTGAGCGTGTACTGCATACAACGCAAACGGGATTCTCAGCATCGTAATTTTGCAGAGCCCACAACGTCTTTCTCGAGAAAGGAGACGGCCTTGGGCATGTTCCTTTGGATCTAATTGTGGATTCGTCCTCTTTACAACGCGCCCTGAACAGCTTGGCGTGCAGCTGTTGAGCAACATTGTTGTGTTTTCTCCCCCTCTTTTGTTTAGAAGGAAACTCGTCTTTTCTCTTTTCTCTCTTTTATTGAAATAGGCCTTTTTAAAACACTGGAGTTAATCTTCCTCTCCTCCTCCGTTTGGAGAGCCAACCCGCTTTGATGTCTGCCATGTCCAATCCATTATTAATCGCCGTAAATCTGCTATAATCTCTACAAACATATTTTCATTCCGTCTAATAAATCTCGGGGCCCGGCCAATTCTCGGGGAGCCTCTCATGTGGAACGTTTGCAGCGATATTTGGACAATAAGGGAGCCAGCTTCCGCTTCTCCTTTTTTTCATCTTTTCGGGGTGAAAACGGGTTGGTGGATTTACGGCTCACCAGAGAAAGAGGTGCGTGCTGGCATTGTTTCTTCTTCCTCCAAGCGATTGTTTTCCATCACTGTTACGTCCAGGTGGAGAGCGAAGATCGCTAACGCTGCAGGATTGACTTGGCAAGAAAAGAAGACGTTTCAATTCCAGAATGTGGTGGTGGAGAATGCGGCCGAATCACGGGCGGCTCCCAAAGCAATGGGGTCATCAACTGCTTGAGGGTTTAGGTGGGTTACAGGCACTCCTTGAACCCCACTTTTTCAGACTACCTCTTGTCTAAAGCATGCAACTCAGGCTATTTTTGCACATGGACCATTCACAGGGCGCTCTCCAAATGCAATAACACCCAAATTTATTTATTTACTAGCTTGGGGTCCCGGCGTTGCCTGGGTTATTTGAGAAAGGCATTGTGTGCCACAGTAGGTCTTTATCAGTTATTTATGTGGCTCGCAGTGATATCAGGAAGTATGTGAAGGTACTGCGAGTCCCATCATCCATGGTCCATCCTCCTTCAAACAGCACCAGGATGTAGAATGGGTCATGGAGGCTCTGTGTGCCAAGTTTGGTCTTGATCAGTCATTGGATGAGGGCCACAGTGGTCTTGGGCAATGAGTGAAGGGACTTCAAGTCCATCCTCCTGAAAACTGCACCAGGATGTAGAATGGGGTCATGGAGGCTCTGTGTGCCAAGTTTGGTCTTGATCAGTCATTGAATGAGGGTTGCAGCGGTCTTGGAGGCAAGATGGAACTGTCTTCCTGGCCCCTCTCTACACTCTGATCTCAGAGCAGCGGTTGGTGCTGGGG